ACATGAAAGCCAGACCAAGTGTTGGGGGCTGGAGGAAAGAAATCAGGACAGTAGGATGGCAAGTCCCCTGTTTTCAAGGGGATCTTGGGATAGGGTTTTGAAGAGGGTAATGCATTCCAGAATCCACTGATAAGTTACTAAGAAAAGACACAAGTCAATAAGATAAATATTGGTAGAACATCCAGTGAATGTTTCGTGGCTGCTTACCGGGACGCCATCATCCCTCAGTGTAGAAGGTATTTAGGGACGGGAAGAGGTTCCTGAGGATGAGTGGATAGAAGTGGGTTGCAGTACAGTATGCAAGTATGAGCTCACCTTTGTGGAAGGAGGAATGGAGTCTATATCTATTTAGAGCATGTAAACTCATGAGGAGGGGAGCCGTATGCCTCGCGTGTGAGGTATAGCAGAGAGCAGGGACAAGGGAGAGAAGCAGATACCTAGAGACAAAGAGAACCAGCCTTGAGAACCTGCATGGAGTCCGTTGTTCTTATCGGGGTCCCACAGCCCTTCGGTAAATCCCTCTTTGTCTCCTGGGCTGGCCTGAAGCAGGGTCAGTTATTTGCCACATTGAGAATTCTGAGACATTTAGCACTGCCGTGATCACGCCCATTTTCCAGACGCAGAAACTAAGGCTGAGAGAAGCCACACAACTTGGAAGTAAATGGTGAAGTTGAGATTCAAACCCAGGTCATCTGAGCTAAATACTGCTGTTTGCCATGTTGCTGGAGCCGGGTGCTTCCAGGAGTTACTTGGAGGTGACTCTGAGGCACCTGACTCCGTCAGGGCATCAGTGGAAAACAGCGGTACCTCAAGGGATTTCAAAAGACATTTTCTTAAGGGAGGGTCTGCTCCCGGTCTGAGTTTAGGGAACCAAGGGATGTTGAGGCGTGCAGGCACTAGCAGCAGTGGGGAGCTGTTATGCCCTCCAGTGGAAGGCCATGAAGAGTGTTTCCAGCTGCTGGGGAGAAGGGCAGCATAGAGGAGGGCCACCGACTGGAGCCCCTATCAGAACCATGGGGAGGGAGGGAGAGAAGAATGTGGGGGATAAATACTCCACACTTTGCCTCCCCGCTGCTCCCCAAAACCCCCATCTCCTGCCACTGTTGGCTATTGGCTGGATCAACCAGGAAGTGGAGGACCAGGGAGCCCAGGCGGTGCGGTCCCTAGGGCTCAGCCTTCCAGGGGGCAGGGCTAGGCAGGGAATGTTCGGGAAGCAGATGGAAATACCCTAACCAGCACACCACTCCCCCTGCGGAGTCCAGCTGAGTCCTAAATGCCTTTGTGAGCAGGACTCAGGGGAGCCAGGTGTGGATAAAGGGGCTTCCTGGAGAAGCAGCTGAGTGGAGAGAGGGAGGGGCTGCCCCAAGGGAGACATCCTCCTGGCTTGTCCCCTGGAGGTGGTGTCCCTCTATGCCACTCACCCCTCCCCCCACCCCTTGCCCCTTTCTCCCATTTTTTCATCTCCATAGATTTTACTTTCTTTCTCTTTTCCCATAAAATGAAACCCACAGAGGAAAAGGGCGGTAGGGGGCACTGCAGGGATCTCCCCTCACCCAAACTCCCCCTCCACACACACCTAACAGGCATGGGACACATGTGTGATGCAGCTATGATTATTTATTTATTTATTTATTTTTAGAGACAGGGTCTTGCTCTGTTACCCAGGCTGGAGTGCAGTGGCATAGTCATAGCTCACTGCAGCCTTGAACTTGAGCGATCCTCTGCCTCAGCCTCCTGATTAACTGGGACTACAAGTGTATGCCACTGCACCTGGTTAATTTGTCTACTTTATTGTAGAGACAGGGTCTTGTGATGTTGTCTAGGCTGGTGTTGAACTCCTGGGCTCAAATGGTTCTTCTGCCTCAGTCTCCCAAAGCACTGAGATTACAGGCATGAGCCACTGTGCCCGGCCTTTGCACATATGAGTGAAGCAGGAGGGTGAGATCAAGGCTGGAAGAGACCTGGAATGGCAGTTCTGAGACAAGGATCTGGGCGCCAGAGGTTTATGTGTCAGGTGATTCCCAGAGGCACAAGGGAGGGGAGGGGGAAGGGGGACAGGAGACGGAGAGCCAACAGTGGCTGCATTAAAAGCCTGTTACTAGTGTGGGTGCTTGGACTCCATTCTGTTGGAATCATCTGAGGACCTAAGCCAAACTCTTATTGGTGAGGTTCGCTGTGGACAGCGTTAAACCCTCATCAGCTCCGGGCTGTTCTACAGACAGTGGGAGTGACGGCACGTCTTTGTATCCATCACCAGTGGGTTGCAGGGTGGGGAAAGGCTGGTGGCAGGGACCCTGGTTAGGGGAGAGCCTGAATGAGCCCTTCAGCTGAACTTAGAGGAATGAGGAGCCTTCAGAGAGGCTGGAGGCTGTGCACACGTCGCCAGTGAGTGTCCATGATCCTGGAAGTGGCTGCTGCTTGCTGGACATACTGGAGTCCGGCAGGGTCAGCTGAGCAGCTCTTGTCTCCTCAGCTGTCCAGCCAGCCTGGCAGCCTCCTCGGACCTCTAATGACTTGATCCCAGTGCCTGGTGGAGGAAGGGAGGCGGTGGGCCCTCCAGGCCAGGCCACACAGACCAGCCTTTGTGCCGGGTGGCCTACGGGAGGTGTAGGCTGTCTGCACGCTCAGCGCGGCTGGGCCTCAACACAGGCTCTCTTTGTGGTGCCCAGGAACCAGGAGGTGCGGGGGTGAGACATGGTGGCGGGAGGCACAGGAGCAGGTTTCCCCGGGAGCAGCCACGTTGTGACGTGTTGGGGTGACTGCCCCAGCAGAAACTTGGGGGAAGGTAGCAGGCTGGGCCAAGGGGCACCAGCAGCTTCCAGGGGGTGGAGGTGCAAGGTTCCTGGGGCTGGTTCCTTCTGGTCAGCCCCAGGATTCCACACAGCAGGCAGATGCCACCTCCCACAAGCAGCCCTCCAGGCCCACCTGCCTGGCCTGAGATTAAGCCCCTCCTGACTCTAATTCTTGCTAATTAAACCTGCCCAATGATTCAGGGCCCTTGGAACCTACCGCTGGGCCTTTAACATCTCAGGAGCCAGGGTTTCAAATGCACAAGCTTGAATGTTTATAAGGTTTGTTCTGGCAAGATTCCTGGTCGACTGAAAGGGTCTGTGTGGGTCCATGGCGTCTTAAGACCCAGACCAGCTCCTCCTTGACCATCTTCCTGGCCTCATCCCCTGCTCTGTAATTTGCTCACATGGTCCTGCCAGGCAGGACCAGCCTCATGGGCTTGTGACCTGTGGAGTCACACGGAGTTCCATGCCCAGATGAGCCCTTGCACTTGGCTTCATGCTCTGCTGTCACTATCTGGGAATTCTTAATACCTATTGAACACGGGGCCCACATTTTCATTTTGACTGAACCCACTAAAATGTAGCCAGTCCTGCCTCAGGGCTCAGGGAGGGGACAGGAGAGCTCTCAGTCACAGCTCGAGAGAGTCCTTAGCCCACCTCCCCAATCTCTCCTGGACTCAGGCCTCCACCACCATGTGGGGCTAAGTAACAGTCTCTCTTTTTTTTTGAGACAGAGTCTCGCTCTTGTTGCCCAGGCTGGAGAGCAATGGCGTAATCTCAGCTCACTGTAACCTCCGCCTCCCGGGTTCAAGCAATTTTCCTGCCTCAGCCTCCCGAGTAGCTAAGATTGCAGGTGCTTGCCACTATGCCTGGCTAATTTTTGTATTTTTAGTAGAGATGGGATTTCACCATGTTGGCCTGGCTGGTCTCGAACTCCTGACCTCAGGTGATCCTCCTGCCTTGGCCTCCCAAAGTTCTGGGATTACAGGTGTAAGCCACTGCATCCGGCCAAAGTGATAGTCTCTTAAGCACTTTGTGGACATCAACTTACTCTGAAACCTCTTGCACAATTTTTTTTTAAATAATTGCTTCATTAAAATTGTATACATTTATTGTGAGATTTTAAATAATGTAGAAAAATACCAAGAAGAAAGTGAAGAGAAAATGATTCAAATTCCATTACAAAGAGATCACTGTTATTAGCATTTTGGTGAACTTTATTATGATGCTCTGTGTGTGCGTGTATTTATATATGTTTACATTCACACCCATATATATGTATCTATACACATTTACCTACATAAAGTTTTATGTCAATGGAATCATAATGTATATATTATATGTCTCTCTGTGTGTGTGTGTGTGTGTGTGTGTGTATTTGACAATATATTAAGTTTTGGGCAGTTCAAAGTCCAAGACCTATAGATTTATTTCACTAATTCTGACAGTTGCGTGGAGTTCCATTGCACATTAAACCATCATAAATGACTGACCCAGTCCCCTGCAGCTGCATGTGGCAGTGGCTGCCACATGTTCACTCTTAAAAACAAGGCCATGGTGTCTGGGCACGGTGGCTCACGCCTATAATCCTAGCACTGTGGGAGGCTGAGACAGGCATATCACCTGAGGTCAGGAGTTCGAGACCAGCTTGGTCAACATGGCAAAACCCCATCTCTACTAAAAATACAAAAATTAGTCAGGTGTTCTGGCGGGCACCTGTAATCCCAGGTACTCCGGAGGCTGAGGCTGGAGAATCACTTGAACCCGGGAGACAGAGGTTTTAGTGAGCCAAGATCGTGCTACTGCACTCCAGCCTGGGTGACAGAGAGAAACTTCGTCTCAAAAGAAAAAAACGAGGCCATGGTGAACATTCCTATAGATACACCTTTGGTGGGGAGGGCAGTCCTGGGTTTCCTGTTCCCTTGTTTATAATGGAGGGACTGAAACGTTCAGAAGCCCCAAGCAGTGGGCAGTTAGATGGGGGCATATTTCAACCCCTGGGGTTGAAGCTGTTGTTCCCAAATCTGACTGTGTTTTCACTCTCCGAGGCACGTGTTGAATATCCCAGCCCAAATCTCTGGGGGCCCAGTCACCCTGCTGCCCTCTGCACAGGCCCCAGAGACTGGTTCCCTTTTTTTTTTTTTTTTTAAATTTTTGTTTGTAGAGATAGGGTCTTGCCATGCTGCCCAGGCTGGCCTTGAACTCCTGGGCTCGTGATCCTCCTGCCTTGGCCTCCCAAAGCACTGGGAATATAGGTGTGAGCCACCGAGCCCAGCTGACTTACGTCTTTAAATTCTTAGCAGACCTACTTGTGCTTTCCTCCTTCGCCTCTGGCCCTGGGTGTCCTCTCTGAGAAGGGACGATGACAGCCCTCTGCTCTGAGGAACTGGCTCAGTTGCCTGTCACTTGGATGATGCCCCATGCTGTAGCTTTGGACATCTCCATCAGCACCGCATCCCCTGCCTTGCAGCATCTGACATAATGGTAGGTGCCCAACAAGTGTCTTTGCATTGGATGAAAAGTATTGTTGGCTGGGCACGGTGGCTCATGCCTGTAATCCCAGCACTTTGGGAGGCTGAGGTGGGCGGATTACCTGAGGTCAGGAGTTCAAGACCACCTGGCCAACATGGTGAAACATTGTATCTACTAAAAATACAAAAATTAGCCAGGTGTGGTGGCGCATGCCTGTAATCCCAGCTACTTGGGAGGCTGAGACAGGAGAATCGCTTGAACCTGGGAGGCAGAGGTTGTAGCAGTGAGCTGAAATCGTGCCACTGCATTCCAGCCTGGGTAACAAAAGTGAAACTCTGTCTCAAAAAAAAAAAAAAAAAAAAGAAAAAAGAAAAAAGAAAAAAGAAAAAGAAAAAGAGAAGTACTTTCACATCCTTTTTTCTTTATTTCCCCTCAACATTTTATTATAAACATTTTCAAACACACAGAAAAGTTGAATGCATTTTCCACTGAACACTCATATATGCACCCCCTGGATGGCATTTTACTATATCTCTTCATCACACAGCTCTCCATCTACCTATCACTTCATCTTACTGTTTTCTACCTTTCAACAGGAGCCGCAAACCTCAGTACGCTTCACTCCCAAAGGCTTCCACGTGTGTATCAATAAGTAGTATTCAGGAATGCCTTGATAGTTCGTTTTAGGTAAAATTTACATAGAGTGAAATGTTCCAATCTTAAATGCACCATTTGCTGGATTGTGACAAATGCAGACATTTGTTAAATCAGACTCCTCCCAAGGGAAAGATGTTCCCATCCCCCAGAAGGTTTCTTCATGTCCCTTGCCAGTCAGGCCACCCTCACACTGGCCCCAGCGGCAACCCCTGTTCAGGTTTTTATTTCATTGCAGATGAGTGTTTCCTGTTCTAAAACTTCCTAGAAGTGATTCGTACTGCAGGTGCCCTTCTGAGTTCTGGCTTCTTTCCCTCCCTGTAGCGGTTCTGAAATTTGTCCTCGTTGCTGTGGGTTTCAGTAGCTTATCCCCTGCTGTTGCTGAGCGGGGTCCCCCTGAGTGCATGTACCTACCATGGGGTGTTCATCCCTGACACTCTGTATCACTCAGCACACATTAAAACGCCCTTATATACTATCTCTCACTCGACTCAGTTTGCCTGAGGTCCCACTGCCAATTCAAGGGCAGTCAGGATTTGTCTGTATGTTTCTAGGCGGGGAACCCATCCAAAGGTCACCAGTGGAGACCTGCCCCATCTCACTGGCCCTCCAGTGGCCTCTTCTCCCTCCGCCCCCAGCCCCAGCCAGCACTGCAGGGCTTCCTGATGGTGGTGGGTATGTTGGCTGCCTCGGCTTCCTCTCCTCGTGTTCCCCCTTCAATTCACTGCAGGCTGGCTTTGGCTTCCCCTTCCCGTCTTACCAGTCCTCCTAGTAACATCCAACGTGGTCATCCCATCCCCCTCCTCACAGAAACCTCCCATCTGTTGCCCTCTGTGCCCACCCGCCTGCCTCCACGGCTGCTGCGACTCAGTTTCCTTGGCTGTCTCTCCTCTCGGTGACCTTCAGCGTTGAGGGAGTCTTCAAGGCCTAGTTCTGGACAGTTGTCTCTGCTCTCTGAACTCTCACTTCCTACAAGGTTGCATCCAGAACCGTGGCTTTAAATTCCACCCAGTGCTGGTAATGCCACAGCCAGACCTTCCCTTAATTCCGGAGGCTCCAGGCTTGCATCACCGTAATCTCCACTTTGGGCTCAAATAATCCTCCCAAATTGAACAGCACCAGAAATGTAAGCCTTGGTTCCCCTCTCTAATCTGATCCTTCCCTGCCCTCCCATCCCCAGTAAGTGGTCCCAGAGGTAGCTCAAGCCTGAAGCCTGGGGATTGTTCTTGATTTCTCCCATGTCCTTGTCTCCTACATTCAACTTATTACCAATCCACAGAGCATCCATCTCCAAATCACATGTTTTTTTTTTTTAAACCATATAATGGAGGTATGATTGACACACAAAAAGCTGTAGGGTTGTTTTTTTGAGACAGAGTCTTGCTCTGTCTCCCAGGCTGGAGTGCAGTGGTGTGATCTCGGCTCACTGCAGCCTCCGCCTCCCAGGTTCAAGTGATTCTCATACCTCAGCTTCCGGAGTAGCTGGGATTACAGGCATGAGCCACCATGCCTGGCTAATATTTGCATTTTTAGTAGAGAGGGGGTTTTACCATGTTGCCCAGGTGGTCTCAAACTCCTGACCTCAAGTGATCCACCCACCTTGGCCTCCCAAAGTGCTGGGATTACAGGCATGAGCCACCACGCCTGGCCTGCAGATATTTAATGTATACAATTTGATGTGATGGAGATATGTACACACCTGCGAGAACATCCATCAAGGCCATAAACTTATCCATCACTGTAAGTGTCCCTCCGTCTCCTCTGTTTCTTTTTCATTTCTTTATGTGGTAAGAGGACTAAACATGAGATCTACTCTCTTAGTAAATTTGTAAGTGTACAGTACAGTATTGTTCATCACAGGCCCTAGTTGTACAGTAGATCTCCAGAATGTGTTCATCCTGCGTAACTGAGACATTGTACCCTTTGACCAACATCACCCTGTTTCCCCCTCTTCCCAGTCCCTGGCAACCATCATTCTACTTTCTGCTTCTGTGAGTTTGGCTGTTTTCTGTTCCATGTATAAGAGAGAAAGTGAAGTATTTGATTTTCTCTCTCTGAGTTACTTCAGTATCTCATCATGTCCTCCAGGTCCATCCATGTTGTCACAAATGGCAGGATTGATCCCTCCCTCCCTTCCTTCCTTCCCTCCTTTCTTTTTTCGTTCTCTTTTTTAGAGACAGGGTCTTGCTCTGTTGCCCAGGCTGGAATGCAGTGGTGCCGTCATAGCTCAGTGCATGCAGCCTCGAGCACCTGGGCTCAAGTGATCCACCTGCCTCATCCTCCTGAGCAGCTGAAACTACAGGCATGTACCATGATACCCGGCTAATTTTTAAATCTTTTGTAGAGACACGATCTTGCTTTGTTGCCCAGGCTGGTCTCAAACTTCTGGCTTCAAGTGATTGATTCTCCTGCCTTGGCCTCCCGAAGTGCTGGGATTGAAGGTGTGACCAACCACCCTGGCCCTGGATTTCTTTCTTTTTAAATGTTGAATAATATTCCATCATAGATGTATACTACAATTTCTTTATCCATTTTTCCGGTGATGGATATTTAGGTTGTTTCCAGATCTTGGCCATTGTGAATAACACTGCAATGAGCCTGGGTGCGCAGATAACATCTCTTCAAGATCCTGATTTCAATTTCTTCAAGTACAGTCTTACACCTGTCCCCTTCTTAACCCCCATTGCCACTGCCCTAGTCCATGGGCCATGCTTAAACTACAAGTATTTCTGGTTTATCTGTAATTCAAATGTAACTGGCTGCCCTGCCTGTGAGGGCCCGCAGCCGGCCAGCACCTCCTGCTCTAACCTTGTTCCCACTAAGGCGTTCCTGTTCCTGCTACCCGGGCCAGGTGGGCTCAGAGTGAGCCAGAACAGCCCCCTGCCCCCCTTCCTTTCCCCCTGCAGCATCTGAGGGGGAAGCAGATCCTTTGCAACCTGCGAGATCTGAGGTGTCTCCACTGCCCAGGCAGAGCTGGGTCTCTGCCCTACTGCTCGGACACAGGCGTTCCACTTGGCTTGCTGTCAAGAGACTGACTCCAGTGCTCTGATTGTAAGGATCGAGGAGACTGACATCTGTGAGGATCCCAGCAGGGGGCCTGGCTCACTCAGGGCCGGGACACGGTAATGGCCCCTTGGTCCTCCTCATGCCTACTTCCCCCTGGACACAGACAGGGGCTGGGCTGGTGAGGAAGCCATTCTCCAGCGGGAGCAGATCTGACAGGACCCGTTTCTCCTCTCCCCTGAGCAGGCTTCTTTGAAAACCACTGTGCGTTTGGCCAGGTACCATGGTTCATGCCTGTAATCTCAGAACTTTGGGAGGCTGAGGCGGGTGGATTGCTTGAGTTCGGGAGTTCCAGATCAGCCTGGGCGATATGGTAAAATCTCATCTTTACAAAAATATGGAAAAAATTAACCTGGCATGGTGGCAAGTGCCTGTAGTGTCAGCTACTCGGGATGCTGAGATGGGAGGATCATCTGAGCCTGGGAGGTTGAGGCTGTGGTAAGCCATGATCATGCCACTGTACTCCAGCCTGGGTGACAGAGTGAGACCCCATATCAAAACAAACGAAAAAAACTCCCAAAAACCCCCCACTGCATTTTAAACCACGCACAGTAGTGAGCAGTCCTGTTTCAGGGTAGTTCTGGGAATTACAAGGACAAAATCTGGCCTTGTGCCTGGTGGAGCAATGTGGGGGTGTGGACGCTTGTGTGTGAACGCCCCTCACCCACGTGGGACAAAGTCCATCCTCCGTGCCAGGCCCTGGGCAAGCCAGCCTGGCTGATCCACCTTGCTCCTCCCCCTCTCTTCTTTGTCTTCCCTGCAAACTCCTGCCAAGTTTGGAAGCAGAAAGAGCTGACGATTTGGGGTTGCGGAGAGCATTCCTTTCTAGAATAGAAGTCAGCTGGTGGGGAAGAGGATGCCCCTTGCTCTCGGTGCCTCGACTTCCTCATCGGAGTAACGGGGCTAAGGAATTCTGCCTGCTTCTCCCGGAGAGCACATGGGACCCACCAGGCCCTCAGTGCTCAGTAAGAGGGGTGCCTTCTGTCCTTGCGAGTGACCCTCCTTTGAGACCCAGCGCCCGACCGCCCAACAACTCGGAGCTGTTTCCCCCTTGCTCGTAGCACTTTCTGGCCTCTTCCCTTGCCGTCTTCAGCGTGTGGCATGGTGGCCCTTTCTCTTTACGTTTTTTTTCTGGCACTAGAATCTGAGCTCCTTGATCTTCAGGGATTGTGGTTTCCCCACACAGTGCCTGGTATACAGATAGTGCTCAATAAATGCTCACCATGGCAGAATTTAACTGTCTTTGAGGTATCCAGAATATAGAGATGGGTTCCTCCAGCCTCCTACTCCCTCAGGCCTATTCTAAAATAAAACCTTAATTCCTGTCCCTGAAGGCAGGTCCTCCTTCAGCCAACTAGGTGCCTACTAGGTACACCGTGCAAGGTGCTGGGGATGCTGCTGTCACCAACACACCCTGTCCTGGCCCACATGGGGCTGCCACCCCCGCCCCCAATGCTCTCCCGGGAGCCTGAATCCTAGCGACCCCTTCAGAGCCACCCCTCTGGCTTCCAAGCACCTGCGCTACCCACTCCCACCCTCCCTGGAAGGGATGGCGCAGCCTGGGAGCCAGCTGCCCTGGGGGGCTCAGACCTGTGGGTCGGATCATCCATGTGTCAGGGAAGGAAAGGGAAGCCAGGTCTCCTTAGGAAGAGTAAGATTCCAAGTCCTAATTCATCCTTTTTATACCTAAGGTGGACCAGCCCTGATTTTATGCCAGGCCCTTTACTTGTACTATTTTATTTAATCCTCACGATAACCCTATGAAGTAGGTACTGTTAATATCATCCCCATTTTACAGATGGAGAAACTGAGGACCAGAGGGATTAAGCAACTTGCCCAAAGTCACACAGCCAGCAAGCAGTGCACAAGGGATTTGAACCCAGACCCTTCTGATGCCAGAGCGAATGCCCTTGAACCTCTAGGCTACACTGCCTGAGGACTGTGGGGCTCTAAAGGGATAAGGAAGGAAGCTTGGAGGGACTGAGTGCTGGGGGAGTGAGTGGGGTGTGTGTATGTGTGTGTGTGTGGGTGGGGCTGTGCAGGGAAGCGGTTGCTACAGAGGGGCAGGGGAGGGGGGTGCTGGGGAGGTGGGGGAGGTAGAGAGATGAGCCCCAGAAGCGGTCAGCTGTGCTGACAATGGATGGGGCAGGAGAAGAGAAAGCCCAGGCAAGGGAGGTGAAGCTCTGTGAGTGACTACACCAAGCTCTCCCTCCTGCCCAGGGCACAGTGCCAGGCCTCACTTTTGAAGTTAACGAGAAGCAGATGGAGGAGTGGGTTGGGCTAGAGGCGGAGACTGCCTGTGCTACGTGGCACCCCTCGGCAAGCCTGGAGCTTCTGTGAGCGGCCAAGAGTGAGGCAGGGCCTTGCGGCTGGACTATGGGTCTCCCTCAGGGTTTACTACAACTTGGACTTGCCAGTGCAAGAGGGTGGATCTTGTTCAAAGATGGGTTCAAACATTAGCAGCCTCAGTGAACGATGCAGCCTGGGCTCCATGGAGTTGCTGCCACCCATAAGAGGGTATCCCTCCTGCCATGGGCAGTAGATGCATAATCAACGCTTTAGTTACGTCACATAACGGCTCTGTAAACAGGATCTGGAATCAGCCATGGGCTTGAACCTCAGTCCCACTATTACTAGCTCAGGAGAGGGCTTGACCCCCCTCCCCCAACTTTTTCAGTAACAGGGTCTTGCTCTGTCATCCAACCTGGAGTGCAGTGGCATGATCATAGCTCACTGCAGCCTTGAACTCCTGGGCTCAGGCGATATTCCAGCTTCAGCCTCTGGAGTAGCTGGGATTATAGGCGTGTGCCACCACACCTGGCTAAGTTTTTAATTTTTTGTAGAAATGAAGTTTCACTTTTTGCCTAGGCTGGTCTTGAACTTCTGGGCCCACGTGATCCTCCCACCGTGGTCTCCCAAAGTGCTGGGATTACATGAGCTACTGTGCTTGGCCAGGGCTTTAACCACTTTAAGCTTCAGTTTTCATCTCTGAGGCTTCCAACTCAGGCAGCTCTGAGCCAGCTCTGAACCAGTCACCACTTGCTGCCTCTTAAAGGTTCAGAACTCAACACAGTGCCTGGCACATAGTAAGTGCTGAGTAAAAGCCAACATTGACATTTAATTCACAAACAGGTGGAGGATGCAGCAGAGTGTCCTGGGTCTTCCTGAAAGAAGTGAAGTGATGGCATTTTGTACTTTTCATCATTCATTCATTCAGTCTTCATTCAACTCTCCTACCAACCTGGCCTAAAATGCAGGCAGAGTCGGTGAGGCGGAAGGAGATGGCTCTGGGTCCGTCATACTCCGCGAAGCCTGTTGGAGGGAAAGAAGCAGGGAGCCCTTCAAGTGAACTGGAGGGAGATGGGTTCCTATTAGGAAACCCTGGATTCAGGGAACCGATTACCAGAGGAGCCTCACAGCAGCCTCCTGGGAACGGAAGGTTACCAGGCAACCTGGCGCTGGGTCACTTCTCTGCCGGCCTGTGCTAATCTCCCTGCGGACTGACTATGCCCCTGAGACTCTTCTGCTCCCCCAAACTCAGCATGCAACAGACTATGGGTTGCCTTGGTAACAACCAGGGCTCCATTTTTATATGTTCTTACTATTTCCGGGTCAATACCACTCCTGGGTCAATACCACCTGACTGTGATTGGATCTTTCTGAGTTCACATTCTGTCCCCCTCTCATAAGTAGGGCCCTTTCTGTCTCAAACCTGATTGTTTGCTTCTTCCTCCTCAGCAAGAAGGGGGATCACACTCCCAAAAAATGTAGGGTCACTAGGAAGGCACCCAAAATTGTCTACTATGAACAGAAGGCCAGCTACTCCCAGCAGCCTTTTCAGATAACTATCTTCACACCGTTTACACCATCTTTATTTATCCTCTTACCTCTCTTTCTCCAGGTCGGTTAAGAAGCTGAGAGCCACAGTAAAAAGCCAAAGGATGTCCCAATTTACATTTCCAACCTTGTCACCTGCAGTTTCCTGCACAAACCCACTTTTCTGGGCAGACAGGTGCACCCTGCCAGCAGAACACGTCTGGTTCCTTCCTCCCACCAAACTTCCACCCACACTCGCCTCTGTAGCCAGATGTGCTCCTCTTCATATCTTTTTTTTTTTTCTTGAGAAAGTTTCTTGCTCTGTTGCTCAGGCTGGATTACAGTGGCATGATCATGGCTCACTGCCCCCTTGACCTCCTGGGCTCAGGCGATCCTCCCACTTCAGTCTCTGGAGTAGCTGGGACCACAGGAGCACACCACCATGCCCAACTAATTGAATTTTTTTTTTTTTTTTGATAGAGATGAGCTCTCACCATGTTTCCTAGACTGGTCTAGAATGCCTAGGCTCAAGCGATCCTCCCTCCTCAGCCTCCCAAAGTGGTGGTATTACAGGCGTGAGCCATTGTACCCAGCCTCCAAATCTTCACCAGCCCTCAAAATTAAGCTCAACTTCTGTCTCCTCCAAGAATTTTACACAGGATTCCAATCTGGAGGGATCAGTTTCCTACAAGTGTAGACTTTATTGACTCTTCCACCATTTGGTCTCCTATGTTACCATCAGGAAAAATTAATGAAAGACTTTCAAATGGACGAAAAAAGAGTAAATGCCACTGAATGTCCAACCTAGAGCACTCTTCCAGTTTATTACTGCCTTCCATTGCCTTTGAGCCATGTTACAACTCTGTAAGTCAGAGAGAACTGATAATAGTGCAAATGATTTGAGTTCATAGAAATGCAAATTCCTTGTGTCCCGTGGAGTGTACGCGATGGTTGCCCTGTGGATAAACTTCCTCTGCAAGTTCATTTCAGCCTCCTGTTGACTTACACGTGTGTGGTTTTTGGACTTTTCCTTTTAACCAGTTAGAACATCTTAACTACTTCCCATTAATTAATTAGTTAAATAAAATTTTTATATTTTAATAAGAGTCATAATTTTGTCTTTTTCCCAAAAATTATTCTTTAATGTTATTTAACTCTTGAATTAGAAAAGATAATGGCTTGGCACCCTGTATCCATCAGTGTTTTGGGGAGTAGGTAATAGAAAGGCGAAAGGGGCTGCCAAAAATAACTGTCTACCCGTCTTTCCTTGACAACTAAATTGTGCACCCTGGGCGGGGCGCAGTGGCTCACACCTGTTATCCCAGCACTTTGGGAGGCCATGGTGGGAGGATCGCTTGAGCCCAGTAGTTCAAGACCAGCCTGGACTCTGTCTCTACAAAAAAAATAATAATACTTAAGAAATTAGCCAGCTGTGGTGGTGCACACCTGTATTCCCACTTACTCGGGAGGCTGAGGTGGGAGGATTACTTGAACTCAGGAGTTTGAGGCTGCGGTGAGCTACGATTGCACCCCCGCACTCCAGCCTGGGCGACAGAGCAAGACCGTTTTGCTAAATTTTTTTAAATTGTGAGTTGTGTGAGTGCTATATCTAGAAAGTTCACATATTCCTTTTTTTTTTTTTTTTTAACATAATGAGGGATTACTAAGGGGGCTAGTGTACTAGACTCTGTGGAATTATTATAAAGGAGGTCCAGGGAAAATACGAAATCAGAGAATGTTGGAGCTGGATGAGGTCAGAGAAGCCACCCTGAGCAAGTCTCTCATTTTTGTCCTGAGGACACCGGGCTGCCTGAGCTGGGGGGGTCTGTGTGGCCTGTCAGAAGGTAGGATTTGGGGATTCTCTGACAACTGTTCATGAGATGGGGCACGCTCACTTACCCCAAATCTGGTTATGGTAACGAGTTGGGGGGAACGGCCACCAGCTAATTGGAAACAGATCCTCCTGAGGCGCACTGGGCTTCCGGGCTGTTTCCCAGCCTCCTTGGCAGCGGACTCCTCTTCCGAGGTATGTTTTGCTGACGTGGCTGGCCGCGGGAAGCTGGGAGGCACAATTTTCTGAAGATCCGTTTGCAAAATTGAAACCCTGCCTTTGAGAACCCTTCACAGTTCACAGCTGTGAGGAGATGGGAGCACGAGGCCAGGGGCAGCCTTCCAGCAGCTCTGAGACTCACCAGTGTAACCCAGGATGCCCTCAGCTTGGTCCGGGGCTTCAGCAGTCATGCCTCCAGCGTGTGTCCCTAAGGGGTCCTTTTGGGGAGAACACTCCGTCTTCTCTTTGCTGGGGCTGTTGACCTCTCTTCTCCCTCTTGGTTTCCTCCACTTCCGCTCCCATACCTGGTTTCTGGAAGGCCGGGTGCAGCTGCAGCTATGGGGCTTCCATTCACTCGCCCCACCTTGGGGAGACAAGGGTCCCCCACACGGCTGTGGCCACAGGCCGGTCTGGGGCGGGGTGGAGGGCTTTCTGGCAAACAGGCTGCGTGGTCTTCTGCCTGAGGAAGGCAAGAGCAGGAAGCCAGGCGTCCAGCTCTCCACTCACCATTATGGTAACTCTCCCAACTCCAGAGGGACCCAGTCTGTCCCACTGTGGCCACCCACCCCGCCCACAATAACCTGTCTGGAAACAGAAGAGGAAAGGAGGAACGGTGCAGGATGGGATCGACACTATCGATTTCTGATTTATGTTGACTGCTGCATTCTACTTAATCTTCATCACCATCACTGCACTGCGAGGTAGGGATTATTACCCATCTTACAGATGGTGAAACTGAGGCTGAGAGAGCCCGAAGGCAGTGAGCTCAGTCCTGCCAGCTCCAAAACCCACAGTCTCCCTATGATACCAGGCTGAATCCTCTCCTTCACAGCCCTCACCAGTTCTTCAGTTCTGTTAATCAGGAAACACCCAAAGTGTCATGGACTGATTAGCAAGAGAGACAAGAAAGGGGGAGACAAGATTTTTCCATTTTGTCTTGTTTTGAAAACTCTTGCACACTTTTGCTTTCCTATTTGAAATGGTCTTGGGTGTGGGTTTAGGAAGCAGCTCCAGATTCCTAAGTGGGGACTTTTCTTTGCACTTTTTTGCAGAGGTTTTCAGCTGGATGGGTGGAAATTGCCGTTTTCTTTCCTCACTCAGGAAAGTGGAGGGAGCTGAGTGAGGACCTCAGCACAGCTGCTGGGCCAGCTGGGGCTTTTTGCTCCTTAGCATTTGATGGTTGGCCCAGGAGTCTACCAGCTATGCCATGGGCACAGCTCTCCCCAATCAGGGGTGGCCGTGTGGTGGGGGAAGGTGTGCATACCCCCAAGTAACACCCACCACTGTCACTCCACTGCTTATTGAGCCACTCAAGCCTCAATTTCTCCATCTGTTAAATGGGAGTAATGATAGAACCCACTTCCTGGGGTGGTTGTGAAGATTAAGATGGGTTTATGCATGTGACTGTCAAAACCACTATCACAATTGGATACTCACCAAAGTTCTCCCCTCCCCAGATCTCTGGAATGAGACATTCTATTTTCAAGAAAGACTCACACGGTCTTTCATGTTGTGGGGTGCTCCCAACTATTTTACTTTAAACAACCAAGTGCTGTTTAGGCGAGACGTTATCTGAAACAACCTTGATCGGTGGTTTTTTTTGGCTATTTGCTAAGGTTATCTTGAAGGAATTGCTAAAAAGGAAGCTAGGAAATGTAACCCAGATTTGGAACAAATTTCCAAGGGTGTGGCATCACAGTGTTGTACTGTGAGAGTGAGCGAGTCTTTTAAGGACACTTAAGAAAGCCATACCATCCGTGGTTACATTATGGAGAGCACGCATTGGCACCTCCGAGATGAATGGAACAGCCAGCTGCCCTAATGTTATGCAAATAGGTGCTCAAGGCTTGGGATAAAAATTTCAGTGAAAGCATCCTACAGATTCCAAAAATGCTGTATCGCCAAGAACCCAGAGGGAAGGAAAGAAGATGTGCTTGGGAAATTAAGATGATTCAAAAGGTGGCTTTGATGATGACAAAGATCATGACAGCAATGACGAATTGGAAGAGCTGGAATAAAACTGAGTCATGGAATGAGAGCAGAGATAGCAACTTTCCTAAATTAATATATCATTAACATATAATATGTGATTATAAGCATGTAGGATACATTAAATGTTATAAATAGATATTTAACTATTTTATCTGCTTATAAAAAGATTGTATATTCAATTAGGTCACAAATCCCCTGGGTCGTTTGAGTGGTGAAGTGGGCAATGATCATATTTTGGGGTTGTGTCCTATTTGGGTGCTGTAGGGATGCGGCTGGTGCCTTTGCAGAAGGCCTGACTTGTGGCTCTTTTGCCCCAGGGCTCCGTTCTTCGGGCTGCCTGTAGTGGAGATGGCTGGAAGTGCCCGGGAATTAACACAGCCTAGGAACAGCCCTCAACCAATGGCTGATGGGATCTGGGGCATAAATTCCCCAGTGCCCTTATCCCTGGATGACATGATGCTGAAGTGTGCATGCTGCACTGACTCCCAGAGTCCCCAGGGGGACTGAGCTCCAGCGGCCCCAGCCGTAACTTGCTTCCCTGGCTGTCTTCCATTCTCTGTCTTTCTTCCTTATGCTTCCAGGATTCTCTCCAAAGAAAGTCAACGGACTCAAATCCTTGTCTCAGAGTTCACTTTTGGGGAATTCCAACCTACAAGCACGTATGATAAAGGACAGCGATTGTTATGATCACTCTTGTTTTGATAAAGATCAGGAAAATGAAGCGACTGCTTCATATTCTCTGTCCGCAGAGCTTGTGGGAGTCAGGCTAGGAGAATCTTTGAGATCTGGTCAGGAGGGGGAATGTCTGACTGTATATTCATCTCAAAGCAATCTCAAAGTGATATTCTCTCTCCCTCTCGCTCTCATTCAATTATATGCTTGAGCAGCTAAGCCAAAAATCGGTCCATCCAGAGCAATTAAAAGCTTCCTTTGCCAGACCTTGGGGATTTCTCTCTGATCAATGAGAAAAACACTGCAGCTGGAAAACAGCTGAAACCAAGAACAGGGCAGTCAGGTCTTAGCTGTTCAGATGGGCTAAAACACCACTAAAATTTGTTTTTAAAAGATCCTTTTATATTTTCAATATGGGATGGTGGGAGGAGGGATGTTATATAAATGGTCAGAAATCTCGTAGTTTTCCAGTCCTTTTGCCTCCAAACTGGACTTTATTTGTGAAAATTTCTGTGGGGCCCCACATACCAGCTCATGAGCTACAGTAAGGTAGTTGTTATTAGAATTATGCTTAATAATAAAATAATAGCAGGAATCACGTAACACGTAGTTACAATGTGCTGGTCTCTGTGCTAAGAACTTCACTTGCATTCAGCTGACTGATACTATAGACTGGTCACTGTTATTATCTCTGTCTTACAGATGCAGCTACTCAGGTTCAGAGAAGTTAAGTAACTTGTCTGAGATCACACAGCCAGGAAGTCAAAGAACGGGGTTACAATCGCAAGCAGTTTGACTTTAAAGCCTGGATTCTTTGGTACCTGACTTTTTCTAAGCTGGTGGAAGGGATGTCTTGGCTGACTTCATTGCCCAAGGCTGGACTCACCCCGAGCTGCCTTCCTTAAGGAGTTGAAACAAGGTGGGTTTTAGTTCTCATGCTATTTCTCCCTGCCACTCTCACTTATATAGATGTCAGAGAGTTTTGTCAACTGGGTTTCCCCGGGTCTTAGCTGCCTGTAGCTGCAGAAGGTGGCACAGCCTAATGGGGGTAGACATTTCCTGGGCCTGTGGTATGCAGCTGCAGATGCAATCCTCCAGCCCCTAGGAGGCACCTCTGTGTGCAGCCACTGCGGTGTCTGGGAACAGCGGAGTGATCGCTTATCTAAATACAGGATAAATGCAGAAAATACATGATGCTAGTCATGTGCCATCTTAGGTGACCCCCTTTCAAGAAGCGGGCACCAGGAGACTTGGTGTGTCCATGGAGCCAGAGTGTGGATAAACAACAAGGAAAGTCTCCCAGGACATGTTGGGATGCTACAGGGAATACAGCTGTCCCAGCTTCTCCTAGCCATTGTTCACTCTGTGACTGGGGCCACATCACCCC